GAGGCTCGGTCCCCTCGACTGTGCGGCGCGGAGGGACCCGTCGGCGGAGCGTTTCCCAGGGCAGGCCGCCCAGAGCAGCCGCCCCCCGCGCGACTCGTCCCGCGTGAACTGGCCGGCGCCCTCCCCCTAGCAAGCGGGCAGAGTCAGCTGCGTGCGAGACCCGGAGACCCGATTCCCCTTTCAGGACGTCCAGCCGAGGCCTCCCGGCTGCCTGGGGCGTCCCGGTCTCCCGGGGAGGCGCTGGCCGCGGGACGGTTCTCCAGCCCGGCCGCAGACGCCGCTTCCTCCAGGAGAGCCCCAGCATCTTGGCCGGGTGCCCCGCTTCGGCACTGCCTTCGCGCTCCAGCAGGCTGGGTGTGCCCCCAGGCCGGGGTGCCAGCTCTCCCTGGGCGCAGCCCCGCCCCGCCCCGCCACCACACAAAGGCAACCTTCCCTCTCGGGTCAGGGCCGGGCCAGGCCGAGCCCGGGAGCAAGTTCCCGAGCTCACGCAAAAGGCAAGGCGGGCCCGCCCCTGCTGGCTGAGCGGGGCCCGAGGGAGCGCGGGCCCGGCGGCGGCTCTCGGGTCCCTTGGCGGCAGCTCGCGGCTGAGGGCAGGCAGGCCTGAACAGGTCTGGGGGCTCTTGGCCAGAACTGGATGAGCCGGCTGCCGGAGGAATGCGGCTCTGTCCCGCCCAGGGCCCCCGGGGGGGGGCAGCTCTCTCTGCAGGTGTAGGGTTGGGCAGGTGACAATCCCAGCCACCAGCTACGCTCTCTCCTCTCCTGCCTCCCAAGGCTGGCCAACTGCTCTGCCCCCCCCAGGGCAGCCAGGGCCCCAGGCTCCCTCCCCAGCCCACCTCGGAAGCTTTGCCATGAAGGGGCGCCGGCTTCCTCCCTTGCCAAGCGCAGGCTCAGAGGAACTCTGGCAGGCGAAGCCGGCAAGGCCTCCAGGGCTCTTGCCTCCCCCACTCCAAGGACAAGGGATCAGCAATGCGTGCCCGCCTCAGTACAAAATGTGGGGGCTGGGCCTGGCCAGATCCAGAAAGAGCAGGCCAGAGTGGGGGGCTAACATTACAGCCACCAGGAGGCCCCTCAACCTGTCCACCCACGAAGAATAATGGGCCGGGGACTAGCATTTTGGCTCAGCGCATTCCGCCTTGCCTAGCAGAAACGATGGGCCCCCTAAAACGCCTTCTCCCTGCCCTGAACAGAAATAACCCCGTTGCCCTTTCCTCTCTTGGCAGCAGCCTGGCCTACGCCACCCCACCCACCCCTGCAATTGCCACAGTGACGAGGAAGCCGGACAGCGTTGCCCAGCACCCGCTTGGGGACTTCCAGGACGTGATGGCTGCTTACGGGCTGCAGGGCTGCGAGGTTTCTGACACAGCCACCCCATGCTACCTTCCCGAACACCCTTACCAGCCCCTGGGGTTCAGCAGCCTTGCCCCCTTAACCCCCCTCTAGCAGCAAGAGAGTGCAATTCCAGCTGCAAGTTTCCTACGCAGGGATGGCGCAATGAGGACAGACAGGACAATGAAGGAAACGTGTACATAGTTTGCAGGGAAGGCATAAGGACTCCCACTTTCAGGCCCCAAAGAAGTGGGGGCAGGAGGACTGGGCAGCAGTTACCTTCCTTGGGGCCTGGCATTTGACAAGTGGGGAGAATGGGAAAAAACAGCCCCTACCTACATTTGTGGGGAGATTGCTAGAATGAGGGGATATTACTTTTTTTTTTATAAGCGGCATGATATTTTCTAAAGAAAGCTTTGTAAATGAACCAATAAAGAATTTTTCATACAGCAGAGTTTGCTGACTGCAATTGCTTTGCCTGCCCAAGGACTGGGTGAATTGCCCCCTTGGAAGGGGAGAAGCAGGGAACTACCTCCCCCTGCCCCTGCTTCAGCAGCCTTGCCCAGCACACCTGGCAAAAATGTGTGCTGCTTGGGCTGGCCCTATGCTCGCCTGCTGCCAAGTAGTATGAGGGTCATCTCTGCTTACTCCCTCCCCGAGAAGATGGATTTCCAGCGCCCACAGTCCGGATGCCAAATGGGCCCGGGGGGGGGCCAAGGGGGCAGGGCAGAGAGGGCAGAGGCTGGCTGGGAGCCAGTGAGTCTCAGCTTTGCCAGGTTGCCCTGGGTGGGGATGGGGTGTGACGACCTTTGGGCCGCTTTGCCTGATGGCCTCTTGCCTCCCCTCTACCTGAGCCCAGCAGGGCTGCCCGCTGTTAATTCAGCTCTCCCCACTCCCTGGGACCAGGCAGCTGCGCTGTTTGGGCTGACTCACCTGGGCTCCCCCCCAGCTCCTCTCCCTAATCGCTCCAATTAGCCTGCCTGGCCCTGCCCGAGCACAGAGGCCAAACTTCCCACCCCCCAGGGCATTTGGGGCAAGACGGTCAGAAGCTCCCTGGCAAGCCGGTGTCCATGTGTGCAAAGGGCTCCCCTTGGCGGGGACAGAAAGAACTGCGAGGCAGCCTACGGTTCTGCAACAGGCTGTGCTTTGTTTTGAAAAGTCTGGGTGGGGGGCAGCAAGGGAAGACCTCTTCCCAGCCCCCGAGGTGAAGGAAGCAGCAGTCCATTGAGGCCTCATCGCCCTGCCCAGTCTGCTAAAAGGTCCTGTGAAACTCCCAGAGAAGGCAACCATCTCCCTCGGCTCGGAACGCAGGAAGGGGCCCCTCCACTGACTTCAGGATCACCCCGAGTGCGCTGCTTGCTCCCTGCAGGCACCAGGCCGGTCACTCTTTCTTGAGCCGGTCCACAGCGTTCCAGTAGTACAGCAGCTGTCCCAAGAGGAGGGCGTGGCACCCCGAGGAGACAACATAGGTCAGCACCAAGAGAGAGTCTCCGGTCTCCTGAGAGGCAAAGGGAAACCAGCTGCCCTTGAGGCCCAGGACTGGGGAGGGGTGGTCAGGGAGGCTGGACACTCCTTCCTCCCCACAAGACTTTTTGAACGCAGAGTGGCGAAGGGCAAGCCACAACGTGACGGGGCTGCGTTCACACGTCCCGCTGTTGCTAAGCCCCGGTCTGGTCTGCAAACAAGGCTCGGCTCCTGAGGACTTCGTGGGGGCCGTTTGCCTTCGCCCTCTTGGGGCGTTCTTTTCTTTTCAGCTTCTCGGTCTAGACAAGGACGCGGGATCTCCTGGGGATCAGCTTAGCTTTGAAAGTTCAGCCAAGCCTTCAGCAAAAGCTCAGGGTTGCCCAAGACAAGGGCGCGGTCTCCCAAGCAAGCCAGCAGGGCTGTTCCCAGCCGGCAGCTCCCCTTTTTTGCCACACTTGCCGGGAAACGGCGGGCAGGATGCCGGCTGGGCTGCTACTGATTGGGGGGGGGGGCATTGATTATTGATTTCTTTGGGCAGAAGGCTCCCTCCTCCCTCCCCCACCCAATCTCAGGATCCAGGCTGCCTCCTTTGGACTCCTACCTGGATGGAGGTGAAGATGCGTGCCACGGACCCCGCAAAGAGCAAGATGGTCGTGACGGCCGAGAGTTGGCCTGTGTGCCCATTCTGGTAGTTGGTGGCTGCTTGCAGGAACTGTTGGGGAGAACAGGCCTCTGAGTCTGCCTCGCAGGCTGCGGCAAGAGGCGGCGGGCAGAGATGCCAGGGCCTGCCGGCTGACGCAAGAGGCGGCCTGCCACCCACACCGCTGCCACCGTTCGGCTTCCTAGAAGCCCTTCCCTCACCCCAGGGGCGGCCCCGCTTACCCTGCTGATTACGACAGCAGGCATGTTGGACGCCTGCAGGCCCGTCACCACCGCTGCCGGAGTGAGCGAAGAGAGCAGGAGAGACAGGACGGCAAAGTAGGTCAAGAGGAAGGCCAGGCCTGGGCAAAGAAAGGAGGGCCACGTCACGCGCCAGTCCCACAACCTGGCCCTCCACGCACAGCCCTGTGGAGTCCACAGTCCATTTTCCGCAGGCCCCTTGCTTGGACACCAGGGGGCAGGACGGGCAGGTGGCTGCATCCCCCTCCGCACCCCACATCCAGGGCAACCATGACTGAGATGCATTTTCCATTGTTGTATGCCCCCCAGAGTCATTAATTAATTAATGAACACATGATTAATGAAGTCAGCATCCTGAAAATCTTTGTAACCATTACAAAATACAGCAAGCTGCGAGACCAGTGCTTCTCAGCTGGGGCTGCTTGAAGGGAATTCTGGGAGTTGAAGTCCACACCCCTTCAAGTGGCCCAGGTTGAGAAACACCGCCCTAGAGCTTTTGAGCAGAAAATCAACTTAGGACTGTGAGGAGGGATGTCTGAATGGGCCCCACTCACTTTTAAACTGCTTTTCGTTATGCAGAATACCCCAGGCCTGCGGGTCACAGCTTCTGCACAACATGGATACTGGCCAAAGCATTTTCAGTTTCAACCCTCCTGCAGGGCTGTGTGCATGTCTACAAAATCCTTCGCTAGGAATGGACCCTAAACGCCACTCCCCAACTTACCGCGCTTGGTATGACCCCCGAAATGCTGCACCAGGAACCCAATGGACACCGTCTGCACCATTACAAACAGGGTCTCTCCCCAGGCGCTGCGAGGGAGAGAAGAGGGCAGGGAGTGGGTTCTCACGTCACGGTAATGGGCAAGTCAGCGCTCACGAAGTCTCAGCGGCGAGGAGCCCCCTGCTTGCCCGAGCCCACGCCCCCCCTTCCAGCCCAGCCTTAGGACGGGGTACGAGATCTGCCTGCCCCAAAGAATTTCTTTAAATGGTTGACAAACCTCCTTGCCTTTGGGCTTATTTGCACCTTCAGACCCGGATGCTCAGAAGCCCCCAGGTGCTGTTGAACTACACTTCCCAGCAGCCCCAGCCAGCAAGGCCAAGGGTGAGGCGCGGGCGTCATAGCTCAGCAACACCAGGAAGGCCGCTGGCTCCTTACTCCGCCCTCGGCAGCGACCACCCTCCTCTCCGCGGCTGCCAAAGAGCTGCTTTCCTGCGGAGGGGGGGGGGCGGGGGGGGGGGGGGGG